ACATCAGTGTGCATGCATGCTTGTGGATATGAGTCAGTCAAACGGCAAAAAACTGCTTGCTTACTTACTTCACCACACATTTGAACTTCTGTTTTTTTACTTAAAAGGATAATATAGTAGGAAACAGCTTAACAGACTGGCATAGAGGGCCTGGACAGTCTCCTAGATGCCTTAGAGGAGGTGGGTAAGAGGAGGACGTTAGCCAAGTTACCCTCCCCCTGCATCGCATGGCACTGTGGATGCCCTGAGCAGCTCCTTTAGCAGCAGACTGTTACAGCCCCCATTTTATGCACAAATTTGAAAAAAAATAATTCACTTTCAATTAATTTACTTTTTCTACCTGGCCCTTGTACTGCTGTCACAAATGAACTTCTCCAGTGTGCGATCAAATAAAGTCTATGTCTATCTCTAGCTAGTAAAGATTTTAAAAAGAAATACATGGTGTAGAGCTGGTAAACGTAGCATGTCCCAGCAGCTGCTGACCTTGCAGTCCCTGGGGACAGAGTTCCCGGCTGCTGACTGTTGCATCAGTTTCTCATATTACCAGTGCTTGCTCCAGGATCAGTATTTTTCGAGGTTAATTACAAAGACAGATAGCTGTCTACTTGAAAAGGTGTGTTTTGGGGAGAAAAAAAAAAGTATGCGTGTGTTTCTGTGGCCAAGAGAAAAGAGTTGGCCACAGACGTGACAGACATTTTACAGATTCAATACCTGTTGCTCAATGACACATTTCAATGAGCGTAATGTTTCAGATTTTTGAAACTACACCCTGTAATAATAAAGACAGAAATCACTGTTTATGGTGTCATATGGGACAGTAGGATAAACGTGAGCGTCACATGACTAAAGCTTCAGGAATGCAGTGATGACACACCTGCAGTAACTCTGCTGGGACATGCCACAACTTGTCTGAACTTCTTTTTTCTGGCTGATTACACCTTCATTCATCAGCTGGAAGTTGTTTGTTTTGTTTGTTTGTTTTTTGTTATTTGATCAAGACAAGTCTGGTTTATTTATGAAATAGATAAACATCAGTGTAAAGAATGGAAGTAGTGCTTTGATGTAACATTTTTTATTCTTAGTGTGAGTGAAGCCTGTTGGTTTCAGTTTTACTCAACTTTTCCCCTCTAAAAGTTAGAGGCAAGAGGGGAGAGGGGGGAAGTGTAGATTCCATTTCAATTTACTCATCCTGAAAAAAAACAATATCCACACCCACCCACCCACACACACATCCCACACACACATCCCACATACGTGCTTCACAAAGTATAACGCTACTGTCATGCAACTTCAATTTATTTGATTCAAAAGATGGTGCATTTCACACCCATTTAATTTATGATCACGCAGTATGAAGCAGATTATTTTACAGTAATCGTGCCATGCGTGTGCCAGGACAGTATTGACAGTGCCAGCCACTGTCTCAGGTCTCAAATAAAGATGTAAGTGGATATAAATATAACACTAATGCAAATTTCTTGCTGTGAAAATAGTTAGGAATATTCTTTTTTTCTGTGTTGTAAGCCTGAAATTTTAAATAGAAAATCAAAAGATTAATATTTAAAGTACAAAGTAAGTGGTAAGAAAGCTGATAAGCGGTATGAAATTGATGGCTATGTAGCAAATATAATTAACTATTAAAAGATTAAGGACTACTGGCAAAAAAAAAAAAATCTGTAAGTGAGAATAAAAGTATGTTGGTGCAGCTGATCCAAGTGGAAAAATATCTAACTCCTTAACCCGGTTATGCTGCCCTGGAACAGAAGGAGGGCTTTTGGACTTTTGTTTTTATGTCCTTAGGAATGGATTACATGACAGAAGAGTTCCTGTCATGTAACTGAGATTAGATGAAGACATTTCATTCTGTTCATTTTCCATTTTCTATGACTCAACAGTTTATTAGAAATTCATGATACACTTAAACCTTTTTGCACAAAAAGTAAGACAAAAAATTTGGAGTTTATTTGTTTTGTTTTTTTAAGCCAATTAGGAGATCAAACCCATTTAGGATCAAATTAGGCTATATGCTGCCCAGGAACTAAGTAGTTTGACGCGCCTAGTTTTGGGTGAAGAGTATCAAACCTCTGGCCTGCCAAGGGATCTAAAGTAGGCCACTTAGTGTTTTCAGAAAATGAGAAAACTGCAGATGAGGAAGGCTTAAAATTTGGGACTTTACATTGTATTTTGTCCTTAAGCAAATGGTTCAAATAATTCATGTTCAAACCTCTCGATGATGAATGATTTGGAGTTATTTTTGAAAAAGAAAAGAGGTTATTAAATGATAGTTTTAGTGATGCAGCCCACTTAGGATCAAAGTGGGTTGTAAAAAAGGAGCAAGGCTAACAGAAAAAGTAACGCACATATTTTGTTAGCAGCAGCTGTTAGACTAAAAGTTAAAAACAAATAACTTTGAAGAATCTAAAATACAATGAATCACAGTTTTCTTAATATCAGCCCAAGTGCAATTTGAAAAACCCCAACAAATGTTTGGCTTGCATTTAATGAGATCATCTTAATAAGTGAGTAACTAATAGCCATGAAGCAATGACTCAATTTATAGCAGTGATGCTATTGAAACTGCTCCAAAAATTCCCAACAACCAAACAACCACATCTGACACATCAGAAATGAAGTATAACAAATACCTGTACATACATTTTAGTCATAGTAGTCAGTGGCTTCTTCAGTGAATATACCAGGCTTGGTAACATTCTGAATTAAAATAATTGTTTATAACAAATATGTCTTGGAAAGGCGGCTTTGGGGTACATTAAACACATTATATAGGCTAGTGTTTATTTATTTATTTAAAAAATATTTCAGGCTATTTGCATTTAATATCTCCATGAATTGGGATTTGATAGTTTTACCTATTTTGCATATCTCTTACTGAAGCGTAGATGAAACAAATACAACCAACATTTTCTAAACACATAAAAATACCTGGCCTAATAAACCCTGATGAATTAGGTTAACCCTTTACTTGGTTTATTTATGCTGAATTGTGTTTATTACACTATTTCAACAGATAGCAGGACAAAAGTGAATACATCTTCAAATGAATACAAATGTGTAGGTGGCTGGCAATCCATTAAGTCATTAGTATCACATATTTTGATGGAAAGATTTTATTTGGCTTTCAGAGGAAAAGTGATGAGATTAAATGCAAATAGAAAGTGGGTGATACAGTTTCTCCCTTAGTTACCCAGTCTCTTTCGTTCATCCTGTACCAGCATGTGTAGTTTTGAGTGTGGTTTTCTTTGCATTTCCATTTAATCATGCAAAGGTCTTAAGTCACCCCTTATTTTATCATATTTTGTTAGGAAAGTATAAAATAGGTGCAGCGGTTTATTTTCAACACCAAAAACATAGATGGAATTACAGAATAAAAGGCAAAAATAGAGTTTGTACAAATCTAATGAGCTTGAAAGTCAATATTTTGTATGACAACCTATATTCTTCAACGCAGCTTCTTGAAGGAAATTCAAAGCTCTACTTTAGATATCGGTTGACTTTTGTTCTTTTCTCTATCAAGATGATCCCAAACGGCTTCAATAATGCTGAGTTCTGATTTGGATCCAGAACTCCATAGGAAATGCTCGTACCAATTTTCAGTCCAGTTCTTGTATAATTAGGCATATTTCAGCTTTTTCTCTCGGTTTCATTTCCTCCTAACAGCCACCCTTTGACTGAGACCGTTTGCTTTGGTGATGACTCAACTGAAAATGTATCTCTCAGGTCCTGTATCAGGTCTTTGCTGGATTTTATTTTCTATTTCTCAAAGACATTACTTTTGGATACTGTTCATCTACTCTAGATATTTATTTATTTATTTATTTTTGCTTCTTCTTTTGTCCTCCACTCCAGTTTCCTCAGATTATTTTAAGGACGGCACTGCACACCATGCAGAGATATGACACAGTTTTTTGGGAATCACCTTGCTGGTGCAAAAAATTGTTTTACGCCTGCCAAACTGTGATATATTTGGAATATATTTTCATAGATTTAGTTCAGTGGTTCTGGACTCAAGATCAGAGTTGGGCAGTAACACGTAAACCAATTACTTTTTTCACGTAACGAGTAATGTAAGGGATTACTATTGCAAAAAAAAAGTCATTAGATTACTGTTACTTTCCCGTAAGCACGCTGCGTTACTGCCTTACTAAACTGTCGCGATGAGAGGGTCTCGTGACAATGACGTAAGCGTGTGCAACCAGTGGTAGCAACAGACGCGTGTAGATAAACAATAGATGATATGGAGTGCAGGAGAGAGTACGACCATGCAGCGTTTAAAGCGTGGACATACTTACATTACTTTGAGTTTGATTCCGTAAAAAGTACACTCTGCGTGGGAAGAAAAGTTCTTTCTACAGCGAAAAAATAAACTTCAAATCTGAGCAAGCACCTAGCAAGCCGCTGTGGCACCGGGCAATCCTCCACCCGCCCCACTCCTGTTAAACGGGTCAAAATAGATTTAAGAGCGACAGGACTTAGTGCCGCTGCATCTATGATTGTATTTATTTATTTTGCTGTGTTTTGCTTGCATCTATTTGAAAGAGTGAGTGTAAACACAAAACATGCAGGAAAATAGGTTCAAATGTTTAAAAAAAATTTCAAGACAAAGACAGTTGCATATAATCTATTTTTTGCTTAATGTGTTCAAAATTAAAAGGTTAAAACTAATAAAACAAAAAGAGGCTTTCCATTTGATTCAATTTTATATGATGGATTATGCATAAAAATAGAATTGGGCTGAAAGGTCTACTGCTTTATTATGTATTCAGGTTGTGTATCATGTTTTTAAAAAGTAACTAAGAAACTAATTACCTTTGAAAATTAGTAATCAGTAACGGGATTACTTTTTTGGAGAAGCAATCGGTAATTAGTAACTATTTACTTTTTTCAAGTAACTTGAACAACACTGCTTACATATATGTGTCTGTGTCTGTGTGTGTGTGTAAAAGGACGGATGACTCAAGACTTTTGCACAGTATTGTACTTTTTACTCCACTGCACGTTCCGTTTGCTAGTTATTTTGCATTATTCCGATTTTTAAGTTGTTGCTTCCTGAAAGTAACTCAACATAAGGAAAAGAACCACTCAACTACTCCTATTATGAACTGTGTGCTGTGTTGTGTACTCTGCCTTGTACTTACACCGTTTCTGCCACGCAGGCACACTGAGGTCCACCAACCGCAGTGGATGGGTGGGATCTACAGTCTCTGATAGCCACGTAGCTAGCTACCAACGTTAGCTGTGTAGGTAAGTGCTCTTATCCTCACAATTTTCTTTAAAAATTGAAACAATATATTTTTCCCCAGACCAGACAGACTATTTGGACATGTTTAACGCTACTGCTAGAGCTTCTTATATCGGTTACCTTGTTCTGCCTAGTTTGAGCTAAAAAGAGGATGATATTAACTTAGCTAGTTTGGCTAGGTAGCAGCTGGTTAACATTAACTGGAAGCAACAGTAAGTATGTGTTAGCAGCGTACCTAGCAGGTGTTAGAGAAACGCTAGTCCCTTGTAAGATTTAGGGTGTTAACCCAATGTCAGCATTAACGTTAGCGTAGTGCACAGAGATTTAATGCTAAGTAAGCAGAACTGTTGCTAACGTGTCATTGTCTTTATTTCAAGCTAACGTCAGCGAGTGTTACAATGGACTTGCCACATCATGGGTACCGAGAAAGTAAGTGAATCACCATGTATTGTTGTATTTGCAAAATTTTCTCAAATATCCTCACTTCCTGTTTTTTTCTGGTCACACAGAGTTCACCAAACTCAGCTGGTTGCTGTCACGTAATCAAACATGCCAGTTTATTTGGTACACTTACGTGTCTTGATGTAGGTTATAACTGTTATATGATCGCATAGTGCTACATACGATTACCGTATACACTCACCAGCCACTGTTTTTTGTAGGTCTGCTTTGCTAGAGCAGTTTGCTGGCTGAACTGGCTCAATTCTGCGTGGCACAGATTAAACAAGGTGCTGGAAATGGTCCTCACAGAGTTTTCTCCATGTTGATATGATATCACCACACAGTTAGTGCAGATTTGTTGAGTGCACGTCCAGGACACTCTGTTTGTAAAAAGATGGCTATGGTCAGGAACAATGCTTACTTTAAACAATGTTGAGTTGGCACCAAGGAGCCCAAAGTGTACTCAGAAAATATCATCACCACCAGCATGAACCATTAATACAATATAGGATGGAGCCATGGTTCATTTTATTTACACTATATTCAGATACTACCATGAGAATAGCACATCTTATTGTGCACTTATAGATGGAGGGTTGTTTATCTTGGTAAGTGGTGTTTTGAGTTACTGTTGCCTTCCTTTCAGCATGAAGCCATTCGGCCAGTCATGTCTGACATCAACAAAGCAATTTCACCCAGACAATTGCTGCTAACTGGATATTTACCCTTTTTTCAGACCATTCTTTGTCAACCCTAGAGATGGCTGTGTGTGAAAATCCCATGACATAAGCAGCTTCTGAAATAGCCAGATGAGCCCAACTGACACAAACAGCCATGACATGGTCAAAGTCACTTAAATCCCCCTTCTTCCTCATTCTTCTGCTAATTTGAACTTTAACAGGTTTTCTTCACCATGTGTACCTGCCTAAATGTTCTTAGTTTCTGCTACTTGATAAACTGATTAAATATTTCAGTTAACAAGCAGTTGAACAGATGTACCTAACAAAATGGCTGGTATAATTGCTTTGACGTAAGAGTATCATGCAAGGCAAATTAAACCCAAAACAGGAAATTGCTGTAGGTGGGATTTTCTATTGAAAAATGATGAGGAATACTGGTGTGACTTGAAGCAATCCTGCTGTATCTCAGGAGATTTGCATCAACAAATCATTATTACTGGAGCTGCAGAAAAAGTAATGAAGGACATTTATGTTTATTAGTGTACGTCAAAGGTCGGGTAAAGCAAAAAAGATCACTTTGTTGTGTGGGCATAACCACACAAAACCAACTCAAGACATTGAAAATTACTGAAAGACTTACCTGTCTCTACCTGTCTGGCTTCAGCTGGACCAGGCATGTCAATGGGCCTCAGCCCAAGTGCGTCATTTGTTGTGGGAAGTTAATTACTACTTAGAAAAACACTTCCTTCTGAAAAAGAGCAGAGGATCTTAACAATATACAGAAAGGACATTTTTTGGATTGTGTGAAAATGTCTAATGAGGTTGTGGATCTAGGTTGGATACTAGTGGAGTTTAACACAAAGCAAAAAATAAAAAAACAACTAAAGGTGTCATGCCCAGAAGTGCTTTTGGCTTGTTCTTTAATGTTGCTTAGGGAAAAGATGTTCCCAATTCCTCTTGTGTACTTTACTACTAACTAGGTGTAAATATTGGAGGACTTTGAGGGTCACTGGGAAATTAATATTAATATTTTAAACAGGCACTTGTATTTTTTTTATTTTTTTTTATAGATTTTCGCTTATTAAGCTCCTTGTTATATTTAGATACTCTTTTACTGTATTTCATTTCCATTCTTTCTATTAAATTTGACTCTAATTTTTATCTTATTGAGCTGTTTTTTGCCACTTTTTGTTTTATTAAGCCCTTCTTATTTTAAGCTATTTTCTTATAGGTTGTGTTTTAATGTTTTGGCTGCTGTAAAACAATCCTCTTTTTTTAAATAAGGAAAGGATATATTTTCTTATTATTTAATCACGTGTTATCTTGCCCTCCACTAAAATGCCTCTCTTGCTTTGAGAAGTACTAAATTGTGATCTCATTAACATATTATAGTGGATTTCACTGTCAGTGGTTAATAAGTGGCATGCCTGAATGTTTCAGTCAGTTAAATATTAATGTTGTCATACTCTCCGTTTACCCTCCTGTGTCCATTTTTCCACAGCTAAGCCGAGAGCTCGTGCAGCCCCCACCGCAGGTGACTCCGTCCTGTTTGAAGACACTAGCTCAGCAGCTCCTGCAATGAACAGTCAGGGGTATTACACTTCTGGATACAATATGGGAGGACCCTCAAATGACATGCAAGGAGGTGGTGGGATGAACAACCTCTTTGCTGACCCTATGGCCAATGCTGCGATGATGTACGGCTCCTCCTTAGCCAACCAGGGGAAGGATATGGTAAACAAAGAGGTGAGTCTCCTATTTGGGGCCGTTTGAGACTTGATATGTAGCACCAAATGTGACTGAATGGAAGATAGGGTGCTAACCAAGGGACTTGTAATTAAGATCAAGATCTGGACTGGTAAATGGTCCAGCTTGAAAGCTGCCACACATTTTTCTCTGTAGTTTTTATTTTTTTGCTATTTATTAATTTGATCTTCTGTCTTTTGTACCTCTGCTGAGTTATTTGTTTTGCCATATTTTATTTAATTTTATTCAATTGCTGTACTTTATTTAAGCTCTTCTGGTATAGGTTGTGTTCAGTGTTTTGGCATCTATAACACAGTAACCTCCCAACGTCTGGGATTTTTTAGGATATTGGTTCTAAGTAGGACTAGAGTATCTTAAATACAGCACTTTCGTTTTCAGCAGGGACAGAACTAATGCATTCTCCCGTGTAGATGGTTATTTTTGTTCGGTTTTGTTTATTTGTTCCCTAAAGTGTTCCTGCTGTTGTTCATAAGTTCATAATGTATTTCCCACCAACCCACACGAGCACAGAGATGAGTTATTTTCGTTGACACAGGGGTAATGTTTCCTGCTTTCCAGCTACTCTCCTGTACTCTGAAACATTCTGGTGTTAGTCATATCCAAAGCCATTTCACGGTTGAAACTTTAATGTGTTGGGGTTGCCATTTTAAATGACACGTTTTCCATCAACTACACTATTTTCTGCTCTGCTTTTTAATATTAAATAAGAGTTGATGATTGTCTTAACAATTTGGGGGGAAAGAGCAATTTAAAAACATGCAGCATATCAATAATGAAGATGTTGTTTTACTGGTTTGGCAGCTTTGATGCACAACATGCCAGAATGATGCATAATGCTGAGAAAAGGAACAACCTCTTGTAAAAATGATTATGACTCCACTGTATTTATTAGTTTTGGCAGCCGTTCATGTCTGTTTTTGTTAATATTTGCATTTCCTCTGGCTTTCAGATCAGCAGATTCATGTCTGTGAACAAGCTGAAATACTTCTTTGCTGTCGACACCAGATATGTACTGAAGAAACTTATGATCCTCATGTTCCCTTATACACATCAGGTAAGCTCTGAGCCTTCTCAGAGTCAACATAAGGGAGACTACATGACATTTATCAAACTTAAGACTGCATGATAATTTTCTCTGATATGTTTTGAAACACACATCAGACACTTTATCACTTCTGCAGCTTCATTTTTGAACATTATTATGCTCTGACTACTTGTTTGGGTATAAAGACACACTGAGCTCATTCAGTTCCTGCACAGTGTAACTTACTCAGATTGTAAATGTGACACCACTCCAAACAATATGTGCCTTGATAATATGCAGCCTACGCAGGATGCAGATGTTCCTTAAAAGACCAGGATCACATTGTATTTACAGTTAACTGCTATGTAGTGATTATAAGCTGCTCAAAATCAACAATAGGGACAAAATGGGACACCACTGCTTTGAGTCTCACAAACATCCAACACCCGAGACACAAGAATTGTAGCTCATTTTCAGGTTATTCCATATAGACTGCCCTCTAAAAACATATGTACACAGACTGGCAAATCCATTTGTTTGTGTTCACAGACACACATCTGTTTGTTTTTCACAATGGTCAACATGAATTGAAATTGCTATACTTTGGTAAGAAGCTTGTGTCTTCAATACGTATATCAGCTTTTATGTGTCACCCTGACAACCACAAAAAGTTTTAAAAGATATGGCAACCACTGTATTTGGACCCAGAGCTTTTTATTAACCTAACCAAGTTGTCCATGAACAAACATAATTGGATTGTTTATAATCCTAAACATAAAATCGTCATTTTAAATTAAGAATGTGCTAAAAATAATCCTAAGGAAACATAAAATGCCATCATGTCTATTGCTGGAAATGAACTTTTTGTTTAGAGAGGCAAAACGATGCACTCCATCAGTCCATCCAATGCAAATATGGGCATGAGTCAGTACATGTGAAACTGGACAGATGAAAAAGGTATTTAAGAGCACAAATGCAAGGGTGGGAAAACGCTATTCATGTGCATGAATCGGTAGATTAGAAGTCTTTACTATGATAAAGAATAGAAGTCTCTGGCACAGTTAGAACCTTTTGGGGAGGTGTTTCACTGCAACAACACAAAGGTGTCTCAATTTGGCTGTTATAAACCAAAAGATTTGGCTTTTGAGGTTAAGGCATTCCCATAAAAATTTCCATTCAGGAGTCTTTGAGTGTGTTGTCTCTACTTTTTAATGTTTGTGGTTAACAGCGGATTAAAGTTCACTTTGGACATCATCCTGCTGCTGCAAATGCTGAGCTAAAACTGGCCTACTACTGCTCGATTGTCAATTTTAAAAAGCTGCAGTGCTCTGCTTTCCTTGTAATTAAAACAAGCTGACTTGGACCTAAATTTTTTTGTTCTCTGAGGGTGATTCATGTCGTATTTGTGTTTTGTATTTGTGTTTCTTGGCAGGATTGGGAAGTTCGTTATCATCGCGACACTCCACTGACTCCAAGACAGGATGTGAATGCATCAGACCTTTACATACCAAGTCAGTTTCATGTACACACAAAATCATTCCAGGCATAATGTTTTGGGATGTTTGTGTAACATATTAAGTGGTTTTTTTTTGTTTGTTTGTTTGTTATTCAAATCTTTTAGCGATGGCTTTTATCACCTACATTTTACTTGCTGGAATGGCTCTTGGCATTCAAAAAAGGTGACTAATCTTTCTTCCACTCATTTGTTTTATGACTCACAGAGAATCGGTGTATGTGAGATAAGCCAAATGTTGACTTTGTGTACAGGTTCAGTCCAGAGGTCCTCGGCCTGTGTGCCAGCACTGCCCTCGTGTGGGTCATCATCGAGGTCTTGGTGATGTTGCTGAGTTTATATCTGCTGACAGTACACACCGACCTCTCCACCTTTGATCTCATCGCCTACAGTGGATACAAATATGTTGGGTAAATAAATCACAGATGCACATATATTTGCAAAATGATTCTTTATTATTTAGAAATTATTTGCGAAAGCTTCTTCCAGTCATGTATTGTTTTTAAATAAATCATGCTGAATTTACTGAGGGAATGTGTCTGTTTATGTCTTCGTCCAGGATGATCTTCACAGTGTTGTGTGGCTTGCTGTTTGGCAGTGATGGCTATTTTGTGGCGCTTGCCTGGTCCTCCTTTGCGCTCATGTTCTTCATTGTGAGTATTTTCAGTCTGTATTGACGGCATCCTTCAAATCTAAAGTTTATAAGTTTGATGGACTGGAGTATTTACATTTCGTCAGTCTAAATGAGTTGTGTTTAATTGATTTCCTGGCTCAGACTGTAAAGTGAGTCACACTGCTACACCTATTGTCTGCTAATCTTTTTTTTTTTTAAAGAAAAAAATGCCCTTATTTTATTTCTTGTTCCTTTTTCCTGTGTTATTTAATTGTCTCTTACTTCACCGATACTTAGGCACAAAAGACAGTACAAAGTTCAAATTTTGTGCGCTCCCCTGCCGTTTTCTCCTTTTGCAAAGCCGTGCAGTGGGCTGAATAAAATTCCAGGCGGACTGCCTAACAAGCAGAAGAGCCCCGGTTCAATCCCAGGAGGAGACAAAAATCCCATTGGGTTGCATCAGGAAGGGCATCCGGCATAAAAACTGCCAAATTAAACATGCAGTGCTTACCCGCTATGGTGACTGCTGTGAATAAGAAACCAGCTATGTAGAAGGAGTAGCTTCTTTTTCTCACACTTTTAAAAAGAGAATGATAAATGGTAACGAATCATGCCCCTTTTAAAAAAATTTTTCAAAGTTATGTTTTTATCATTTAACTCACTAAAACTACAATTAATGGAAAAAAAGAAACAATACCCAAAAAAGGCAAGAAAAAGCAGATTAGTAACCAACATTTACATTCATGCAGAATGCGTACACATCCATACATTTTTCAGATATTTGTTGTTTTTCCAGTTTATCATGTGATGGGGTGTTTACTTTAGTGGCACACTGATTGTAAAGCTCTGGGTCTGTATTGATATTTGAATTAATAATAGCTGGTGCCAGTTTAGCCTTATTGAGTTGAGCAGGTGACTGCATGCTGCAAGGCTCAATACAGCAGGCCGCCTTCAAGTCTAACCTTTTGCTGCATGTCATTCCCTACTCATGTCAAAAGTTGAATGAGTAATAGTAGTAGCAAAGACTTAAAGTATGGGAACAGCTGATGCAGAGAATTAGTCAGCAGAAACTCATTAAAGATACTATCAGTTTGCATAAAGGTTAAAGCTGCTATCACACATTGGTAAGTATTGTCTTTGACGTGCTGTTAGACACAGACTGAATCTGCTTTCAATCTATGTACTTCTAAAGATTTTCCTTCTTCCACAGGTTCGCTCTCTGAAAATGAAGATCCTCCCCTCGCTGTCCTCGGACTCTATGGGAATGGGATCGAATGCCAAACCTCAGCTCCGTCTTTATATCACTGTTGCATCTGCGCTCTTTCAGCCAATCATTATTTACTGGTTAACCTCTCACTTGGTCAGGTGACTGTGAGGTGTTCAATAGCCTATAGTCCAGGAGTAGTGGACCCCAAAAAAAATGTGGTTGTGAGTGTTTGTATACCTGCCTTTATACGCTCTTTTGTCATTAAACTCAAAGCATACATAGATGGTGTTGAGTGCAGCGTGCACTGAGCTTGTTGTTGATTTAACAAGAAAGTGTGAAACGGAAATGGTCTCATCCACCGTAACTGTACAGAACTCTGACAGACGCTTATTTTTTGCCACCTAACCTTGAACAAAAGGGCTTTCACTGAGAGATTTGCTTGATCAGAACCGATATGGTTCAGATCTACTTTTGTATGAAGGCTCGCAACATGCTTTTCAGTATTGACGTTGCACACATGATTCCAGTAACATATTTTGTTTCAACGGTAATGCTGCTGCATTATCTCCCTTTCTTCTGAATCCTCTATTTTATTTATCTACATTTGACAAAGCACGACAATGTTTGGATTTTTCTAGAAAAAATAAATATATTTAGCTTTGTGTACTGAATTCAGACTGCTTCTTTTTGCTTTTTGCTTCAGGTCTTAACAGTATAAATGGCAATGTAAGGTGTAATAGCCTACATTTAGAATTCATTACTTTTACTAGAGGTTAAATTAACCTTCATTAACTCAATTATGCACTTGACTATAATGGTGTTACTTGAATTGTACTCAAGTATTTTGTATCAGCTGCGGTGGCGTCCACTCAATAAAGAAGTGAGCAGCTGAAGGAAATTGCCTTCTCTTTCCATTTAGTGCTAATTGAACCGTACAGCAGTTAGTTTTACCTTAAACCGGGTGTTTGGTTGACATTTGCAGATTCAAAACATCCGAACCTGCATTTGGAAAATTGCTGCTAAGACATTAATGCATAAATGAATAATTACACAAGATTTAGCATGTTATATAACAGTAAACCTAACTAATGTTGTTTGAACTACAAATTCCTGAGATATCCTCAGTATGTTAAAAACCCAAACCACTGTTATTCTGCCCGTGCAGAACATGGAGACAAGTAGTGTAATATAATGTAATTGTTGGCATTAGATTCAGATTTATTTGTCCTTTTGGAAATTCCATTTGTGCCTTTTATCAAATGTAATCACAACAGTAGAGACCTCACAGTTACCAACAATAAAGACATAAATGGCAAGAAAGTTCTGCTGTAACATCACCAAAAAGCAAACGACGATGTGTAAGTGACACCCATATCACACTACATCATATACTCTCACCTGGATTTGTTTTACAGAGTTACACTACAAGTCCCCTGGCCACAAGATGTTGGCAGAGGGTGGACCGCGTACCTCCATGCTAATGGTAGTAAAGTGAATCCACCATGAACAGGCTGTGATGGATCTCTGAGGATGTCTCACCTGTTTTTCAGTACTCATGACTCCCAAAGTTGCTAACATCCAATCTTACAGCCTGTGTTTACAATCTTATTGAGTTTGTAATTATTAACTATGAAAAATGAAAAATACCAGTCAATAAAACATAAAGCTAGAATGATTTCTACAAATGAATAATAAAAAAGAACCAGTGTACCCCGCCTCTCACCCTAAGACAGCTGGGATGCCTCCAGCGCCCCCTGGGACCCTGATAAGCGGAAGCGAATGGATGGATGGATTTCCTGTTTAATGTGTTATATATTGGTGTAGTATGGTAGGCTATAAGGGATGGTTTTGTCAGTAAGAGACCTGTAAAACAACCACTTTTCAGACTCTTGGCTCCTGATGTTCAGACTCTTATTATATGACTCATCTGTAGCCGCAAAATACAGTCAGGAGTTTAAAATGTATGTCCTTCTGCTCTGTAATTTTCACGTGTTTCAAAGCCACCCTGTGGGCCGGACTGAACACTTTGGCGAGCCGTTTCTAGCCCCAGGACCGTATGTTTAATATCCCTTGTCTGCCGCCTGTGGCTGGTGTCAGACCAAACGTTGTGGGAACGCGCCCGGATACGCGCACCCTGCACAGCGTCCTTATGGTGTCCATGGAAACCACGGACCGCCACAGAGAGCGGAGTGAAAGGTGTCCGAATGAAAGTCTACTTCTGAACATCAGGATTTCACCTTTAACTTTTTTTTTAACGACATCGACATTTAAGAGGAGGCAATTCCCACCATAGTCCCTGCTTTGGTGATTTGGTGAGTAACCAGTTTATATTATACGTTTGAAAGACTAGCTAACAGCGCCGAGCGGGTCACCTGTGAGGGGGGAAAGGCGGCTTTCTACAATAGCTAAATGAAACTTTATATTGTTCCGCCATTTCCCCGCTGAACTGCTTTGTAGAACCATGTGGCTTCACACACAAACCTCCAGAGCCTTATAAGAGTAGATTAGACATGCTATACGTGTATTATTGGCCTTCGTTTTGTTTTGTTTTTTTAAATGTTTAATAATCCTGGTCACGGTCAGTAGACTACGATGAGCAGTAACTTTCTCTGGGACCTGCACTTGTTCTCTGACTTCGTTTGCCTTTATTAAACTGGAGCAGTAGGAGTGGACTTTGGACGTTTAGTGGATGCTCATCAGAGGGGAACGGGTGGCAAACATTTACCTGCTATGGAGCTCCTATTTTCCAGCATTTTCAATATTTTTGTTTGTGTGTGTGGTGATCTAGTATGTTTGGCTTTTATTTTCATCTATGAAGAGGTAGCAGTTAAAGTCAGGTATATTATACCTGAAAAGAATAAACAACAACTCATAAATACAGGTACAGTCCTTGCTGTTCCTGCCTGTCCTGGAAGCAATTTGTATCTTGATGACTTCATCTCTCCTCTCTCTGATTCATTTCAACCTCATCTTTCAGCTGCATGACCCTGGAAGCTTCGCCCTGAGAGTGAGATGGAAAACAGCTCTCATACACTGCCACTCTCGTGCCCCTCTCCCGCCACTATCAGAGGGCCTCTGCCGTTGTCCTCCTCACCCCAGCATACCTCCTCAAATGGTCGCATTTCACTGCCACTTTCGCCTATCTCTTTCCCGCCATCCCCAGCCTCATTTTCCCCAGCAACAGCAGAGTCTGTTCACTCCTGCTCCCCTCTTTCACACTTTACAGTGTCTCATTGCCTCGAAGGACAAAGCCTAGCTGACCAAGATGACCTCACCTGTCTCAACTGGCTTCATCAAAGAGGGGATCTGCTGCCACTGCAGCCCCTCACCAAAATGACACCGCTGCCTCAGCAGGAGCCCTCCGTGGCTTCCCAGCTTCTTCCCGCTGCTTCGTCCAAGCCGCCGTACTCTTTTAGCAGTCTGATTTTCATGGCAATAGAAGATTCGCCACAAAAGAGGCTTCCAGTGAAGGACATCTACGAATGGATTGTGAACAATTTCCCCTACTACAGGACGGCAACGGGTGGCTGGAGGAACTCTGTCAGACACAATCTGTCTCTGAGCAAGAGCTTCAGACGCATTCAGAGGGACAAGAGCCAGGTGAGTGCTTAAATAACAGAGCAGCACCAAACTCATTGATCTAAGTGAACTCTTCATTGAATCCAGATGGTCTGAATTCAAAACATTGGTTACAACTCCCAAAAATGACTCGTACAGGGTTTTTGAAGACTAACATCTGTTACATGGATTTGTTTCTTTGTTGCAGTCAGTGGGGAAGGGATCACTGTGGTGTGTGTGTCCAGAGTACCGGCCAGCGCTCCTAGAAGTGCTCAGGAAGACCCACAGTTATCACAGCAATAACAGCAACCTGTTACACAAGCCTGCACTGTGAGTATCTGCAATATGGATTTGTAAAAATTAGCTTTAGTGCCCCATACTGAGGAACGGCCAGAAAATCCAAAGTGTTCAACAAGAAATGAGTCACATTTCTTTTCTTTATATTTTACTCTGAAAATGGGGAAATACAGACAGAGATATATTGAAATATGTGCAGACATACATGGAAATATGGGTACTTTTTAAGGCTTGAATGATTCATAGGTCAACGTAAAAATTCTTCTGAAAATGGTCAGGTACAAAACCTGGAGTGTGAGTGACTGAAAAGGCAGCCAGTGTCCAAAGAAAAACTTTGAAAGACGTTCAGAGAGCTGCGAGAACTATTGGACAAGACTAATTTTTAAAAATTTAAGTAAATTCGGCTACATGGAAGCAAAATAACAATTTGAGGGTGGCTCAATATTTTTGCACGATACGGTAGTTGATGTGTAAAGGATCTTCAATTTTAAAAAGAAAAATATGCAAACATTTACAGGCATCGACCTCTCTTAAGGATTTGCTGCCTTTCTAATGAGTTTTTAACACGGTGCTGGTGAAACATTAAGGGGCTTCCACACAGGAAGTGACTTGCAGCAATGTGGTTTTCAGAGAAGTCATGACATTCAGTCACTTCGAGTGACAATGGTCCCAGGTTAAACCTTTCTCAACTCCTCTGGTCTCCATGTCATTGCTGATGCAGTCTTTTTGCACCTGTAAATGAATCATTGCACTGGAGTCTCCTCTGACTGGAACTGAAGGTGATGCAAAACGCTGACTTTATTAAACTGAATATTTGGGTATTCTTTCACTATCTTTTGCCTTTTTTAAAAAATTGGCAAACACATTAACTGATATATTGCAGAAGTAGGATGAAATATCATCTACAGCTGTCGTCGTACATGCTATTTTTTTTTTAACACAGTATATTTCTCTCCTTAACCACCACATCAGTAAAATCTAATATGCGTCTAGTGGAGGAGTGTTTCTAAATAATTTTACATTTTAATGGCTCTCTTGCTGTGATGTGTGTTGTGCACAGGTTGGAGGGAGAAAGCTACAAGATGCCTGCTGCGTGTGATTCGATGGAAATATCAGGTCAGGACCTACATACTGGACCCGGTATGAAATTGTTTCAGTCGTTTTATCTGCAGAGTAACAGCCCTGTGTGACACTTTTATCACCTGCAGCTTGTCTGTAGCTTTGCAGCTTTCCCAGCATGCATCATTGTTCCTGTGTTTGTGTTCTGTTCTCATGGAAACTGCCTTCCATTACCTTGGCAACCCGGCAATAGCCTGGCTTTTTATGAGTGCCCCCACCCCACCCCTCCGTTTTATTTCCGAGCCTCTTTGCCATACGGGCCCACGTCCTCGCTAAAGAATCCCGCAAGTGGTTGTTCGGCCAAGCTGCAGGACGATGGGTTATTAATGTTAACGTTGTCTTTCTCATGCAGATCCTCTTTCTCACTCCCTCCTCCTGTCTACCGCCGATAGTCCGATTTTAGCCGAAAACCCGCTGTGCCTTCTGACCCCGGATCACGAGGAGCTCGTCACCATGGAGTCTGTGGAATACCAGCAGGAGGAGGTGTGCGAAGACATGGAGAAGGACCCCCTGTCTGACAGCGGCTACATCGAGCTGCACTATTACGAGTCTCAGCAGTACCAGTACCTTGTGCTGCCGGACGACACAGAGCTCGACCTGGAGACTGTGGAGATCCTGCAGCTTGATGCCGAGGCCCAGGAGGCCGCCGGGTCACTGCTGGACCTCGCAGGCGGTGGATATTAGTTCAGATCCTCAAAGAAACCGTCCTGGGATGACAACACTGCCCTATAGCCTGTTTACTGCCCTGTAGTGATATTACAGTATAGATCGAATTAACTGATGGAGTATCGTTCCACATAATTTCAGGCTTCCAGTACACAAGCTGAATATATCACCATAGCATCCCATCCAGCCTGAACAAAGCCTTCAGGGTGTAGAACTGAGACAAAAGTATTAAAAATGAAGTGATTCCACAGTGATTTTTTAACATGTTAACATCGTTCTCAGGGGTGGAAGGAGTGCTTCGAGCTCAATACAGAGTGCTGCTTCTCGACTGAGAGGTTTCCCAAGTTCAGGTGTGACTAACACGCTGTTGAAATCTTCACGTTTAATGTACAGCGAACAGCACATTGACTCACTTCCACATCGTTACCAGTAAAATATGAGTATGTGTTACCCTCTTTCAGTTGTTCTAAGCAGTGACCATATTTTCTTTCTAAGAAAGTTTCTGTAGGACATTCAAAGTAAACTGTAGTTGACAGTCTTTGTTGTTTTCAGCAACACTGTTGCTTTGATAGTTGAAGACAATAGATAAAAAATAATTTATAATGTAGCTGTGATTTTAGATTGTACTTAAGAAGTACAGGGAAGCACTTCTATTCAATTCAATTCAATTCAATTTAATTCAATTTTATTTATATATCCTCAAATCACAACAAAAGTCGCCTCAAGGCGCTTCATAGATACATTACCTTGGCAACCCGGCAATAGCCTGGCTTTTTATGAGTGCCCCCACCTCACCCCTCCGTTATAATAAGTACTTCGAATTTTATTTCTAATGGTTTTTAATGTCCATTATTTTCAAGATTATCTTTGCTTGAGTTTATTTTATTTGCACGATGTCTTCAATCAGGAAAGGTTTGATTGACTCACTGCCATTTTAACCACTTTACATGTCGGTTACACTGAAATTCTCTTCATAAATTGTATGTATTTACAACAGCTTTGGGTTTTATAATCTAATAAATAAAATATGTGATGCCCTTCTTCTGAGCTGTGCATTGGTTGTTATAGTTTTGTTTTTATTTTGTTTTCAATGTTTGTTTTCCGCTTCAGTGAGTTTGCTTGGTTTGGTTTAGTTTGACTTGGTTAAAATAAGTCTTTAGTATTAATGATAATGTCAAAGTTATGATTCAAGAAATTCAGAATAGATTTGTACAGGACAAATAAAACATTTTGTGCAGCCAGTGTATTCACAGTTTTAATATGTGCACCAGTGCCTCTGTGTACCACACTGGACCCCTACATGTGAGTGGTGGGCATGTAGCTCTGTGGGCTAACGCCTAAACATCAGGCACTTGCCCCAAAACAGCTTAAGAGCTATTCTACAATTATGGGACATTTTCTTTTCCAGCCATGAATTTGAAAATAGTCCATGCACAAAATACTAAACATACATTTGTTGTGTGCACCTGAGACAAAATGCAGACCCAGTTGTTGAAAAAGTGGTTCCAAAATATTATTTCAACACCTCAAAAAAGGACATTTATCTTTTGGCCCAACTTCTTGATAACCAAATTACTTGTCGTATATAATTGTTTCAATATTTTGTTTACACTTATAATTATTTTGCTGATTTCTTTAAGATCAACATATTTTAAAGATCAGTAATTATGAACTGCAAGTTATGTCCCACAACATATGTGCCACCCTGTGACCGAAACTTATGTAGCCTGGAAGGGGAAGAGATAAAACAGTGAGCCGGCATGGCAAAGAGGAAGTAGCATGAACATCATGGGTAGACCAAAGGTCACTTCTCTTTGAAATTTTTGCATTTTTCTTGACTTTTCTGATTAGATTGAATGTGTCACTGTAACTAATGCAACCATGTTACCCAATTTACCAGAAGAGGACAAATGAAAGGTTCCTGTATTTTTAAAAACTACGTTTATCCTTGACTTTCAGTCCATTACATGCCATCTGGGGGTTTTTTCTGAGAAAACACTAATACTACCACTATTGCCTTTGTAATAGCTTGAATTATTATATAAAAGATTGTATTTGAGCAAAGATTTTAAAATAAATACAGAAATTACTGACGAAAACGTGCGACTCTTGAAAAGTTAGATTTCAAAATTTTCTTAAATTGATATAAATTACGTTTTATCGGAAACTGAATAAGTATTTAGTAATGAAGTATGGTATCATTTATTAAATTGTCTACTTCGGGTATTGGTGAGATGCACAAGCATCCACGACTGAAACACTTTTGATGCCTGAACTGTACAAATCGAATTTTTTTAAAGTTCAATATTTGTTTTTAACTGAAAATTATAACATAAAGGGTCCAGTAGTCCATATTTTAAAGCCCAAATGGGCTATGGGTTAATAGCTAGAAAAATCCATAAATAGAATAAACAGGAGAATTAAAATAAAAGAGCCCAGTGAATACAAATGTGATTATAAATCAGTAGGCAGCTTGGCAAGTAAAAAACAAAGTAACTACAGGTATGAGGAAGGAACGATTCCCTCTGTAAGTCGTTGTGGTTGGTTTTTGTTTCTTTTCTAGTTAGTTTGACTGTTTGTTTAAAAATAATAATCTTGTTATCTCTAAATGTTAATTTTCTGAGTCTATCGGCTTCAGGTTTGCTTTAAAATGCTGCTGGATAAGTTTCGGTGTCTCTGTGTGATGAGCTTTATCTGGTGGCTTTAGAAACAGTGATCGGCTGCACCGTGAGAGGGCGCAAAAGCCACGGCTTACTTAACGCAGGCACACATATATGACAATGAAAAACAACGCAAACAAAACAAAACAAACCCCTTTGGAAACCTGCTATGTATGTTCGGTTTCCTCTGCGCAAATCCTTAGGCTATCATTTGTATAAACGCAAAACACCCGGCACTGTTTTACATTACCTGTCTGGTAGTTCCGTATTCGTAACTTGACGGTAAAAACTACATTTCCCAGAGCTGTTGGATATTTGGCTGATTGGGACGTGTAGTTCACAGAGACACTGGAGCGCCGGCAGGGAAACCTGTTTTAAAACTACATTTCCCGTGTGGCGTTTCGCAGACTGGATGCAGGAAGTGTGTGGAAGTTTGTTGATGGAAAAAAGTTCTCATGGTTATTTTCATGCCAGTGTAAAAAGTTACGTTTCTCTGGTTTGGCGACTCTCAGAAGACTGTGCAGAAGCTGTTTAGAGACACCAAAGGTAACATTAAATCACTAAACAGGAGCTAAGGAACGCAGAAGCGTTTTTAAAAGCTAGTTTCAGATGTTTTAACACTTTTTTAGCTAACAACGGTAACGTATGTCATCGTTTTGCTGGTGTTTGAAAGCTTGTAGCCACACAAGAATTTAGCTGCATCCGTTAACTTGTATGTTAGCTCAGTGGTTGTGAGCTGTAGTTTGTTATTTAGCTTTTCGGTGAAGTTCACGTCGATGTCAGTACAGTTCGGCTTAGCTGTGCTCTTCGCAGTGTTGTCAGTTTAGCGCTAATATCATGTAGCTTCGTCATAGATCAGTCTCGTAAACTTAGTTTATCTCGTGTTTAGATTGCAAAGTGCAAGCAGATTTTGTCTGAACTGCATATTTTTTTCTGCTTGTTAGCATCGAGGCGTATGAACAAAGTCACTGCTGAGAAATGGTTGGTATGCTGCTCCTCACCGCCACACCTTTGAGGTAGTGAGCTTTAACCGAAAGCAGCCTGCTTTCTGGGCATTATGAACTTGTATCCAGACACCTCCCTGTCTTACTCATCGCGGGAGAAGACATCCACCCCGCAAAATCAGCGACAGTGGAGTGTATTGAAACCATCAGAGTAGCAGGGAAAGCATGCTTCAGGCAAAGCAGCGTGACACCCATAAGAGGAGCCCGCCGTCAGCTTCACACAGAGCCTGATATTGTCCCTGATGGAGGGACCAGTGCATGCCTGATTTCTGTCAGCAAGCCCAGGAAGCATAAGTAAAGTCTTAGTGAAGCTGGAGAAGTCTGTTGTCATCATAATTCTAACTAATGATAAATGAAGCTTTCCTAATAGTTTTCTCATGACCAACTTGAACACATTTTTGAATGATTTCTTTTCTGGTGATAGGCAGACATAGGAGATATTTTCTCGTTAGCTTCTCTAGTTTGTTAGCACAAATGTCATAGGATTGTATCAGCATTGCACAAATATGTTGGCTGATTTTGTAACTCGGTATATCAGGTTTTTGTGGGCAAAATCTACAAGACGAGTGCAACAAAGAACTGAAAGGCTTTAATACAGTTGAGGTATTATTTATTTGTAAAGACAATTGAACCACTTTCCTGTCAAAAAGGAGAAGATTAAAAAACAAAACAAAAAACATACAGAGGCCCAGAATTTAAAAATCAGTTTATTACTACCCTCACTGACCATTTTATTACTGAGTTGGACCTACTTTTTGGTCTCAGAGCTGTCTTAAATCTTCGTGGCATATCAAGGTACTCGAAACATTCCTCAGAGATTTTGGTCCATGTTGACATGATGGCATCACACGGTTACTGCAGATTTGTTGGCTGCACATCCATAATGCAAATGTCTTGTTTCATCCTAAAGGTGCTCTGTTGGCTTCAATATGGTGTAGATGCCAAATATGGACTCATTGTCATGTTCAGAAAACTTCTTTGAGATCATTTGAGCATTGTGACATGCTGCATTATCCTGCTGGAGGTGGCCATCAGACGATGCACTGCACTGTGGTCATAAAGGGAGGGACATAGTCAGCAACAACACTCAGGAAGGCTGTGGCATTTAAACAGTGCTCAGCTGGCCCTAAGGAGGGGAGACTATGCCAAGAAGATATCCCCCACAAAATTACATCACTGCCACTAGCTGGAACTGTTAATGGATCTGTGCTTTATTGGTGTTTATGCCAAATTCTGATCTTTCCATCCAAATTTTGCTGCAGAAATCGAGACTCGTCATCAGCCCCGGCAAGATTCTTGAGCCTCTGTGAATTGTAGCCCCTGTTTCCTATTTATCTGCCGCAACCGGTTGGGGTGATGGCAGGATGACAAGATAAATTTATAGATGCTCCTCTGCATACCTTTGTCGTAACAAATGCCTATTACTAATGTCTTCCTGTCATCTCCAGACAGTCTTGTTTTTCTGCTCCAGCCTCACCAAGCACATTGCTGCTTACTGAATAGTTTCTCTTTTTCCTGAAGATCCTTCATATCATCTTCTGCAAACCCTACAAATGGTTATGTGGGAAAATCCCAGTAGATCAGCAGTTTCTGAAATACCAAGAACAATTTAATGTTCCAAGTAGTATGATTGTTGCTATATAATAATGTTCAGCTAAGATGCACCAATCTATTGCCCAATATGTTGGAGTATATCGTGCCGTATTGCATGTGGCAGTGTCACAGGTGAATTTCATCTGTTGCTTCATGAGTTTTTCTCTGATTTACTGTTCGAGAATGGCATAGTATAAACTTGTTTTTTCTTTTTTTTCAAGAAAAAAGAAAAACATTCAATTATAAAAAAAATTATAATTAGTGTTGATTTTATTTTGGTGTTTCTTTGTTTGTGATCTCGCACAGGGACCAGAACATCAAGAATAATGGGGAGCGAACCAGGCCCAGTTCAGATTGTCAATGTCTGTAAGGACGATCACTCTTTCACCTTGGAGATCAATGCTTTGAGTCAGATCCTGCTGAACCCCAAGGTCCGAGACAAACGTGTTGTGGTGGTGTCAGTGGCCGGAGCCTTCAGGAAGGGGAAGAGCTTTGTGCTCGACTTCATGCTTCGATACATGCACAGACAGGTGAGTTGTGCTGTAACCTGATCCTTCAGCGTGTCTCATCACCATATCTCTGTAAGATCAGCTGAAGTTCACTTCAGAGATCAGCTGAAGTGCGCTTACAGTATCAGATGCTGGACTCTCACTGTGTGAAGCTAAGCTTCAGAGCAGGATGCTAGAGACTGATTTTTGTCCTCAAGGTGTGATAACCTATAGAATTAGTCCTGGTGTGTGGATTGCATGAGGACTAACTAACATGTGAACTAACTAGTTTACTGACTAGGGGTAAATGAGAATTTTGCCATGACCACTAGAGTCTGTGAATGCCCTCTCTTAACTTTATTACTTTTATTCATTACTTTTACCATAGTGCCACTGTCTGGCCTCACAACATGACTAATATGACATCTTTCAGTCACTGAACACTTTACACTCCACTGGGTACTTATTTGTTATGTAAATTATTCAAAACAATTGGGATCTCCATTCATAATTTAGGTTATGGCTGAGCGAATAGCACCGAAGCTTTACCTGAAGGCCTCGGCTTTGCTGTGATGGGGGTTTAAAAGTGAAGTTTGCATTTCTGTATCAGGACGAGGAGAAATGGATGGGTAACGATGACGAGCCTCTGACCGGGTTTTCTTGGAGAGGAGGGTCAGAACCGGAAACATCAGGCATCCAGCTGTGGAGCGAAGTTTTCCTTGTCCAAAAGAGCGATGGTGAAGAGGTACTCGAACATTTATGTGTGATTATTTGTTTTAAGAGAGTAAACATGTAAGCACTCAGATTTACTAATGGAATTCATATTGAAATATTGAGTTGATGTTCATTCATTGTTTTAGATTTTCAGTGCCACAGTAATTTCTGGTCTCAGCCTTTCCTCTAATCTTTAGTCTGTGCTTATGACTTTATTACTCTAGCTGTATAAGAATAAAGCACATTTTGTAGGTTTGTATTTTATATAACAAAGGTTTATAAGTGCAGTGGACAGATCCCTGCATGCTGCAAATGTCACTGCTACAAAGAGATGAGCTGGTTTCTGTCAGCCTCCAGCAAAGTTTAAAAGCAATCTTCTAAATTTAGACCAAGCGGTTCATCTGCCTACAGGCGTCTTTAGCTGCTTTTTCTGAAAGCAGCTAAGATGGACTTTTTATACCCAATCACAACCTTGATGACCTTGACCTCAAGGTTAGAGGTCAGCCATCTGTAAGCTCTATATGTCTATAATCATTATAGAGTCTATAATCATGTTTTGTTTCTAAATTCCTTGGATTCCTCATTTCTGCATGCATGTTCTGCATATTTCAGTTTCTCTGCCACACCTCAGATCAGTATAAAAGTTGAATGAATGAAAGCAAGGTTGGGCAGTGGTTCAGATGCAGTGACTCATTAATACACATTACTGTTTGGAGTATTGTGCCTCCTTGTATTTAGTGTTTCGCTCACATAGAGTTAACTTTGCCAAGCTGCCTAGGTCCACTAAGGAATGTTAAAGTATATTTGGCAAACCTGTTTTAGAAATGCTTTTATGTCTAATTTCTCATCCATCGCCATATTTGGGCAGGTTACTGTGGAAGATCCCCTCAATATTATTTGTAAATTATTATTACTGCTAACTAGCTTGTCCAAAACCTTTTCATTCTATGTTTCACTCTTGTCTGGCTCACTGCCCAGGTCCTCAATATCATGCAGAGTCTCTTATCTTGCATTCAGATGCCCTCTAACGCCACTGTCTTGAACTGCGATGGTAGTTCTGCTCTCTGAACCGCTGCAAGCTGTACCAGCAGCTGGTGGAGAACTGCTTCATATGCCACTGCACTGAGCTTGTTGAGGTTTCAGAGCGAAACTGGAGCCAGTCTAAAATCTGAAATCTGAGCACATGTCATAGCACGTGATTCCTACATTTACCCCATGTTGCGTATCTTCTCCCTCTCTGCTGCTGCAGGTGGCTGTGGTGTTGATGGACACTCAGGGAGCGTTTGACGACCAGTCCACTGTGAAGGACTGTGCCACCATCTTTGCCCTCAGCACTATGACCAGCTCCATACAGGTGACGATCTGCTCCGAGCATCACTAAATCAGTATTTTCTTGATACTGTTGTAAAGTGTGCCAACATGTTTTTGTCTTGTTTAGCTCTACAATCTCTCACAGAACATCCAGGAGGACGACCTGCAGCAGTTGCAGGTCAGTTTGGATTGGTGTTTGGAAAATCCCACCAAAGATTTTAAGCCCCAAACGATTAAATCTAGTTACTGTTTAGATTTAGACTCTCACACATAATACTTTCCTCGTGGTGCTGGCTCTGATATTGTATTCATTCATTCACAGCAGCTACTTTAAGGAATCGACTTTTAAACAGTTTTGTTTGGTGTACTCTGTTATGCTCATGCGTTTTATTTCATACTTGAAGTTTTTCTGCATCTAATGGAAGTAATTTCACTGCCTAACATAAATCATGTGCCACATTTTTTAATTTCACTGTTAATTTTCCATTATGGGCATCGCCGCCTCCTCTTTCTCCTTGTAGCTGTTCACCGAGTATGGTCGTCTCGCCATGGATGAGATCTTTCAGAAGCCCTTTCAGGTATGAGAAACGACGACATTCAGTGATCTGTGGGGTTTTTTTTGTTCTCTTGTTCTCTAACACGTTCTCTCTCCTCCTGCAGTCTTTGATGTTTCTGATCAGGGACTGGAGCTTTCCCTACGAGTACAGCTACGGGTTCAAAGGCGGGAATCAATTCCTGTATAAACGGTTACAGGTACCAGCCACGTGTTGATGATTTTGCAGAGTATCATGAATGCACTGTGGCTGTGAATTTTTATGTAACTGATCTGAAATGATGAGTTTCAGCAGTGCTTGTTTGTTTGTTTTTTATTTGTTTGTTTGCTTGGTTGGTTGTTTTTTTAGGTTAAGGAGGCTCAACACGAGGAGCTGCAAACAGTCAGGGAGCACATTCATTCATGCTTCACCAGCATATCCTGCTTCCTCTTACCTCACCCTGGTTTAAAAGTTGCCACCAGTCCTGCCTTTAAGGGACAGCTCTGCGGTAAGGTCCTCGGGTTTTTGTGATATTTTTAGTTGGATGGCCTTCAGCAGAGTGCACTCCTGAGTTTACCGTAGATTTTTGTTTTTAATTGATTGTTATTTATTGTCAGATGTTGGTCCTGAGTTCAGAGACCAGCTGAAGAGTTTGATTCCCAAACTGCTGCATCCAGACCGTCTGGTGGAGAAAGAAATAAATGGAAACAAAGTCACATGCAGCGGCCTGCTCGAGTTTTTCAAGGTGAGATCACAATCAGATATTTACAGGCCCCCTTTTTTTTTTAGTTCATTGGCTAGAAATGTTAAATATTTGCTTTACTTTACCTGCTCTGAAGTTTTCTCTTTCTCTGAGTATAAAGAAGCTCATTTTGAAGCTGTTCACCTGAGCTAGAGACAGGGTTTAAAAAAGAAACAATGGGGGGAATGGAAAACATGCCTTAGCCCACTTCCTTTAAAATTTGCCAGATGTTTTTAGTCTACTGCCATCCGGTGTCTATTACTGTTTATAGATCACAGTGAAAAGGCACAAAATCCTCATGTTTTTTGTAACTAAATATTAGTCTATGATTTTACGGTTCAAACAGCTCGTCTACTTCTAGAAACTTTCCTTCTGCTTTGCAGTTGTAGAAATAGAAACATGTCTTGCCAGTTAGCAGGAATCTCAACAATGGCTCTGGACAGATTTCAAGCTACCAAGATCAAGTATGTAAGGAAGTAAGTAGTAAGGAAGTCCACCCACCCATCTTATTCCAGTTACCCAGTTCAGGGTTGCGAGGGTGCTGGAGCCTGTCCCCACTGGGGGGAGAAAACCATAATTGTGATTTCAAGAGCCACCAGGATATTTAAAAAAAGCTCAAATTAAGTTTTATTAAACTTTTTCCTTGTATGTTACATTTACACCAACACGGTCAGCATCTGTGGCTCATCTCACAGGCACAAAAGAAGGTCTAATCTATTTCAAGTTATTTTTATATTATGTTAAGAAGAAGAAAAAGTGTACCTCCATCTTGCCGGTATTTGTGGAACAGATATGTGTGTTTGTGAGTGGATTATATGGTTCCTGGGTAAGCTCTTACAAAGTAGATGATTGTCTCTCTAGACAGCTGCTGTCATGGATTTCTCTACTCAGGGTTCTCCATATCTGTGTCTGAACAGTCCTTTCTGTTTTGTGTCACCAGGTTTATATCAAGATTTATCAGGGAGAAGACCTACCGCAGCCAAAGACTATGCTCATGGTACGTATACTGTTTACGCCAGTTTGACCAGGCACTTAGTGTTGCTCTTGAGTAGGTCACTCTTTATCATCTTTACCATGTGTGTGTCTGTCTCACCAGGCCACAGCAGAGGCCAATAACTTGGCAGCTGTGGCGTCAGCCAAAGACCAGTATTACAGGAACATGGAGAAGGTGAGTTCATGTTAATCTCTGTGGTGATCCCTGATTATTATCATTCCCATTAGTCACTACTTTAAAGTGCTTGTTGCCTCAGTAATCTACAGAGTAAAGGGGGTTACATATATCATCTGTAATGTTGAATTTGAAACACCCTCCCTCTTTATGATTCTGTGATTTTACTAAGGTGTGTGGAGGAGACCTGCCTTATGTTTCTCCAGATTCCCTGGAAGAGAAACATCAGTTTTTCTTCCGGGAGGCTCTTCACGTCTTTGCATCCACCAAGAAGATGGGCGGACAGGAGTTTTGTAACCGTTACCAGGTGAAACTGGAAAAGGAGCTATTGGAAATGTGGGAGTCATACCTGAAGCACAACGAGGTAAAGAGTGGTTTGTTTTACCCTCTTTTATTATCTAAGTATAAAAATCAATTAATGAAGGTAAAACGTGGTCAAACATGATTTAATTTCAGTTTTGTTCCTGATCACTTGCTCTTTCTCTTTGTATTCAAAGTCCAAAAACCTCTTCAGCGCCTTCCGGACTCCTGCTGTGCTCTTTGTCCTGGTGTGCCTCCTCTACGTGCTCTCTGGTTTGCTTCTTTTTATCGGCCTGTCCACCTTCGCCATGTTTTGCGACTGCACTCTTGGTGCGGTCATGGTGGCCATGCTGACGTGGGCCTTTATCCGCTACTCGGGTCGGTACCGAAATGTGGGAGGAGCCATCGACCAGGCTGCCGGCGTCGTTCTGGAGCAGGTGAGAATAAAGGGAGAGAGGCATTTGTGTCTCAAAGCTTTCATTGCTGGATTCTGTTTTAGTGTAATGCACCAGTTACAGCCACTAGAGGGAGCGCTTGTTGTAGAGAGCAACAAAACCACCAGGATTAAAAATAAAAAGTCTGGTTCTCTAAATAAAAACGGCTTATACAACACATTTGAATAGTGTGAATTTCCACTTTAGTGCTAGTTTAGAGGTTTAAGTGTCTGAGCAGATAGCTTTGTCCTATGTTAAGCTTAAATGCTTCACTGACAGTATGAGTGTGATAGGGATCTGGGGAAAGTTCACAAACTAGTTAAAGCGGTTGTGCCCGAGGAGTTTTCCTGAGCCTGAATAAAGTGCGTTCAAACCTTTTCAGAGTAAACTTGAAAAACTTTAGCAACGAGGACACTAAGTGGAGCTCCCTCACTAAGCTGATCTTGGAAAGTGTTGGTAACGTGAAGTCTGAAAGTTTGAAATGCCTGTAAAAGTAGAAGTTACTTTCAGCTGTTTGCTTATTAACAAGGGGGTCTGTACGGGTAGCGCTGCATGTTTGATTTGTCAGGTTTTTATGCTGGAGACCCTTCCTGACACAACCCCAAAGGGGATTTTCCTTGCCTGGCTTTTTACCACCGTAAAAATATTCAGCAGTAGAACAAAAACGGAAGAAAACCATGAATCAACACACAAACATTACCTGATGCTGCTGAAGTGAAGAAGAGCAAAGGTTTGCAGAGGTTTAATTAGAGGCTCAGCTAAGCATTTTGCAATTTCGCATAACTTTAAAAAGTTTAACTTTCTTCAGTATTGAACAGCAGAAATTAGGCTTTCTTGTTGGAAACCATTTAAATTAAAAAAACAAACAAACAGCGACAGTGCTGTAAACAACAGTAGACTGGTGCGTAATAAGCAAGTGAATAATGCAGAAAACAGATTTTTAGATGGGAAACTGTTCCTGAAGAACACTGAGAGAGAGAAAGAGAGAGCTGTGCAGGAAGTGTGATTTTTATCATGGTGGAAGCAAAAGTAAGAGGGAATTCATGACGATGTTTATGTGAAGCGAAATGTGAAGCTTAGTTTAGGTCTTCTTTTGCTGCTGGTTTTGAGACAAAACCTGCAGCTTCAGAATCTAGCGCAAAAAAATGGTAAACACAAAGTGCGGACCCGCCAACGCATCAGAATCTGTGAGCTGTCGGCTTTCAGCCCCAGCGGCGTGTCCGTGCCGTCAGGTGAGAAAGCCACATCTCACTGATTCTGATGCATCGGTGGGTCCGTGCTTTGTGTTTACGTCTTTGTGCAGAATCCTTGTACCTGCTCTCATTTACTGTTTAAGTTGTTTGGTGGTTGTCGAGATTTTGTGAGGTTTAACCTGAGATTCTGGTGTTTCTGGCAAAATAAATTTATATTTAAAAGTTGGATTTTAATAAATCGATATCATGTTATTCAAGCGAGAATTGATTTTAATCAGAAAATCGATAAGGAGGTGGTGAAGAAAGGAAAAACATTCAATGCATTTAAAAAATGACAGAATCAGAAACACCAGGCATCATTTTTTGTACAAAAATTATAAATTCCTTCAAAAAGAATATGGGACCACACAGGTTAATTATGTGGGCTGCTAGAAAGCTGACCGCCTCAAGTTGTTAAACTGTGTTTAAACGACTCTGATTCATTACTTGATAATCACCAAAAAGCTGTGAATTTTTTTTCCTTGCCCTCTAAACTTCTCCTGTGGTCAAATTTCTTAACTTAAGGCTGATAAATTAGAAAAAAAATTACTATTTCTTATTTTTAACCACGTGAGAAAGCAAAATTGTTTGTAGTTGATACAAACTGCACACAAATGTGACTGACCTATGGAGATAGCTGCATGTGTTTTCTGGTTTCTCCACGAAGACATTAACATCGTTGGCTTTGGTTGTTCACCAGGCAGGAATTGTGAGAGGAGAAATTTAAACCCTTCCCATTTTCTTGCCTTCATTCACCTGGCTGGTGGCAGCATGAAGTGGATATCCAGCCCACTGGACTCTCGCCTGTGGCTCTTCTGAGGGACTTCGAGCCAATTTTTTTTATAGGTCATACTAGGTCAGCTACATGGTCTCCTTTCAGAATACCTCACCTGGGGTGCATCCTAGTCAGATACCTGAAATTGCTGCTGCAGTAAATGAAAGTAATCTGTCAGTATGAATAAATAAAAATGTATATTTACAGATTACGTGTGTAACTATATGTACACATGTAATCTGTAAAATTACAAAAGTTCTAGTAGCTCTCTGCCAAGACATGGCAGTGGGGAAGGTCCCTTATCAGTTGGAAAAGCTGCGAAATTTATGAAAATTAATGCTATCCTTTAGTTCAGTGGTTCTTAACCTTGTTGGCGGTACCGAACCCCACCAGTTTCATATGCGCATTCACTGAACCCCTCTTCAGTGAAAAATAAAATGTGATTTTTTTCAAATTCAAGACATAGATATGTTTTTTATTGGTGCACAAAATGAGCGTTGCATGTCACGGTGGAGGCTCTGCCGAACCCCTGAGACCGACTCACCGAACCCCTAGGGTTCGATCGAACCCAGGTTAAGAACCACTGCTGTAGTTGTTTCAAAGCCATGAGCGGGCTAGACATGAGACTTTGCCTGCCCAGTTCTGGCCCCCAGGCCTTATGTTGATACCCCTGCTCCAGAGGAAGCTAATTTCCGCTGCTCATATCTGTGATCTCATTCTTTCCGTCCCTACCCTCATGGCCATAGGTGAGTTAGATCTACTAGTCTATGGACAGCGCTGCGTTCACGCCTTTACCACAGCAGACCAGCATGACGTGGACATGAATGTCAGAAAGTCTAACACTGGGGACACCAATGGGGGAGGGGAGTGGACGGGGTGCTACACCCCTGTTTCCTGCACCCTACCCGGTGTAGGGGTGGGATGTTGTTTCAGAGGGTGCATCCGTTCACCCGCACTCTAGAGGGGGGATGCGTGTGTGTGTGTGCGTGCGTGCGTGCGTGTGCGTGCGTGTGTGTATGATTGGCCTGCATGTTCGTTTATATAAGTGTACACGGTTAATTTGTCTGTGTGTTTGGGTGTGGCTGGGCCTGAGCTGCTAGAGTCTATAGAGCTCATCTTGGAGCAGTCCAACACTGAGCTGCTGTGTGGGGCGGACATGTCTGAAGCTGCTGAGCCATCTGACGAGCAGCTGAAGCTGAAGGAGTATATTTGTTATCACATTGTGGTCCAACTGTATAACACATGCCAGTTTTTACCAGTTATTTGCAGACTGTGTTGGAGCTTGATGGCCTACATACAGCAGACTTATCAGGGCTTGTTTTCTGAAAGTGGCTCGACTGTTACTTCTTATAACTGAGCTGATAAGAGAGGTGAGACTGAACCATGACCATGCAATAAATGTGTGACCCACGAAGCCTCAACAATGAACTACTGAAGGCCAGTTTGATGGTGCTCTTTGTGGATTATTGTAATGCTTTCACAAATATTTTTTGTTGAACAATGGTGATTATTAAGAACAGATAGAAATAAAAATGTATGATGTATGTATCCAACATGAAAAAGGACTGAAACAGAAAATGAAAGTGTTCCAGCCCTCAGAGGCTGTCTGAAGTCCATTCTTGAATCTTGAGTTCACTTTCCTTACAAGTTCCTCGACCGTGCCATCGCTGGCAGAGTTTAAAAACGGTGATGGATACAGCAACCAGAACTGAAGTCAGTGAACACTGCAAGCACTCACATCAGCTCTCTCTCTCCTGTTCTTTCTCTTTTCAGGCCACTGTGATGCTGAACAAGTCGAGAGGGACAAGCATGGTGGAGCACAAGAAAACCCGTTAAAAGACCTCCACACTCTCTTCATAATGCAAAGCAAACGGCGCCCACAGCAAACACACAGTCAGCACCCAAAGCCTTATCATGCCACCCAAACTCAACAACACTGACACGGGGTAGCGAGATGATGCCACTTCACCAGCATCTCTATTATGCACAATATTCTGCCTGTTAACGGTTCTGTTATTCTCTAAGGCAGGGACGTAAACTGTATTTTATGTCTTAAATTGACACTGCCATCACTTTACAAGTTTACAATTGGTCTTAATAGACAAGTCAAAGTTTACCTTAAACCTAAAAACACTTTTATTTTCTACTTCAAGCTTAATGCATCTTCGTTGGCCGTATGTTGCTAAGACAGGGTTTCTGCAGTGTATCTTGAAATAGTTTCCTAAAATGCTAGCTTTAAAGCGTATACATTTATTCAGGTTCCTGTGAGGTTTTCTTTGTTTTCACTCATTGACTTTAAAACATTCCAGCTTGTTTGTAGATTGGCTTCATATTTTAACATGAACTAGCATTTCTTGGGAGGCTTTGAGGGGAGAGTAAACAGTTTTTTGCTCTACACAGCACAGCATGGAGGCTGTATGTAATGGGAGATTCACTT